TCTTCCAACTGACTTGCTCAACAAAAATCAATATTTAAGGCTAGATGAGAGACTTATGTTAGATAGCATATACTACCCGTCATGAACTTGACTATCATATAAAATAAGAACTTTTCATATCGGACTGGTAGATCCAGAGATTAGTGTGCTTAAACAAAAAAAAAACAATAAAAATATCCGCATTATTATCTTTATGTATAAAAATTACGTGTCACGTTGTTTGTCCGTGATGAACTCCTAAACTTATGAACTGGTTTCAATGAAATTTTGCACACTCTGTGCAGTTTGGTCCGACTTGAGAGATAGGATATTTTTATACTGATAAGTGACATTAATTTTCTTTTGTAGGATAGGGTGACAAACGAGCACACAGTCCACCTGATGGTAAGGGGTTGCTGTGGCCCATAGACATCTAAAATTAGTCCTCGTTTGCGAATCAAAATGCAGATGCGTTGTCACCCGTGAGGACTAAGATGAAATGCCTCTTTTCCAGTAAAAAGGGTCTCCGGTTCTCTAAATTAATTATTTTAATTATTGTTTTATTACGAATTTAAGGATTTATTATATGAAGATCGTCGAAAAGGGCAGAACAACGTCTGCCTGGCCAGCTGGTATTAGTATAGATTAGCAACAGCACATTAATGCGCAGCTGGGTTGGCCCTGAGGCCAATCAAACACTGCGTACATTTATTAATGTATTAGATACAGTCCAGCGAAATTACATGTGATGGTCAACCTTTTCATTTTATTTAATAAGACGGCTAAATTACGATTATCATTCAGGCCGCCTTTCAAATCAAAATTATTCAGTTACGTTTGTAGACAAAAAATTCACGTCACTGCAAAATTTCATATTCTAGCAACTGTAGACGGGCGAGATGGTGGCAATTTAGTAGATTGCACGACGCAAATAACAGTCCAAAGATTTAAAGAGGATTCTTTCAACTCGAGCGTCCCAGACTTTATATACCTAATGTGCTTAATAGATACTGTTGCGCGCCACAATCAATGCATAGTACATAGCGATACTAGTTACCACTAGCGCCTTCTAGTATCGAGTAGTAGAACTAGGAGACTCAAAATCCTTCTAGAAATTTCCATGGAAGAACTTTCTAGAACTATCGACATCTAGTCAGGCGGGACCGGTATTTACTCGAACATTGTAGATGTTTCTACAGTAGAAAGTTCTGGAAATTATCTGAGGTCCTATATAAGGCCAGTAAAGACCGCTACCCAGGCAGTATTGAATTACCGATACAAGCGAATACTTTGAAGCGATACAACTGCGAACTAAAGTGATCAGTAGTACGAGTACAATTGTGTTTTGTTATTAGTGTGGTTTTGAGTTGTAATTATTGTTCTGTAATTAAAGTGTCAATTTTGGTAATTCACTCGGCAGCCTTAACTGTCTCGGACCCCAAGCTCGTAACAATACCAACGATTGCCGCATAATGCCGCATACACCTAAATATAGCGATTGTTTTTCATAGACTTTATACGTTAGGGCAGGTGGATTTCGTAGGAAGGAACGGTCATTTCTCACTTCGCACGATATTAGCTATTGTATTGAAGTATGCAAGGCGCAAGGTCCCGTAGCGGGGTGCGGCGTTACTTATAAATTATGTATTGGCTCTCCCTAGTGAGTCGAGGGTAGTGCATGTCGTACGAATCCTCTTATAAAGTACTTTTCTCTGTAGTACGTGTGACAACATAGGACTTTTTAAGGCAATGGTATTTGTCTTTCACTGATTTTTTAAGCCTAACTTTAACTTTATTGCAGGCAATTTCTAAGATAAATATTCTTTTCTAAATTATTAACTACAACCTAACGGCGATGGAATTTTGTTGTTAGCCGTTTCCAAAAAAGGAGGGGTCTCAATTCGGCTTATGTTCTTTTGTACGTGTATATTACGCGATATATTTATCAATTGTGAAGCGATTTTAGCGTGCGTGCGTGCGTGCGTTTGTGCGTGCATGAGTGCAGGCAACAAAAAGAATTTCATCTAAATAGTTACCTTGGAAATCCTTTTGCACACCCTTGAAGGTGGAAATTTTGCTTCAAATTTATATAAGACCACCTGTGAAGTATATTATAACCTTTTTTATAATAATCGGTGAACGTACATAAATAAGTCCAAAGGTTAAAACTGTAATTAAAAACCCGACTGCGTAAAATACTTTAATGAAAAATAGAAAAGTTTAATAACTTACGTCACTTTCACATATGTAAAGATCAATTAAGTCATTTAGGCTTCAGAGCATGCTAAAGTAATAGACATACGTAAATATATACATTCGAAAAACATTAGTCTTCTTCTGGGACAGTCGGGTAAAAACATACGCGTGGAAATTAGAACACCCTTCTTTTTGAATTCAGATAGAAATATCATTTAAAATACGTTTAACTTAAAGTTATTTAATTTCAAGTCGCTTAAAGTTGCTGAACGAATAATTTGTAATAAAATGGTTTGATACAACGTGTTCTTTTCGTAATAAAAGAAATAGTAACACAGGACGAAACGTTTTTTGAATAAAAGAATCGGGCATAAGGCAAGAGTTCTCCTTTTTAATAAATCTTAGCTTCGGTTGTTTTGTTTCATTTTATTTTTATAGCATCCCTGTGAGCGGAAGCATGATAATAAATAAGGCTATTTTACGGCTACGTTTCAGAGTTTTTCATGACAGAACGAATATTATTACGTGGCGTATTAGAATTATATAAGGATTTATGTGTAAACTCCGGCTTGTCTTAAGGTAAATTATTAATTAGACCACCACAGAACAGGCTTGTCCTAGTGTGGGGTTTAACAGACAATTTATATAATCTGGTGTTTATTTCTTTGAGTTAACATTATTTCTGTAAAATTAAGGTGAAATGGGAGAGATCATGCTGCTGTGTTTCGTGTGACTGTAAAGAATCGGAGGCCATTTCTACTAAAACGAGGCATTCCATCTCAGTCCTCAAGCATTACAACAGATCTGCATTTTGATTCTTAATTGAGAATAGATGTAGATAACTATAGACCAAAGCATCCACTTACCTTCAGGTGAACTGTGTGCTCGTTTGTCATCCTTATTTTTAATAAAATTAGTATATAATTACCCCATATCATACTATGACTTAGTCTTGAAAGGTAACAATACATTTGTGACTTCTTTGCCGAAATTTGTTGCAGAGCCTATAAGATGCAACAGTCAATTCAGTCAAACATCTCAGTCCTCCCGTGGCCATGGGTTGCTGTAAAGCACCCGAAACCCGGAATTAAAATAGTAAATTAAACGCGATAAAATCCGTAAAAAAATTGTTTCATTATATGTGTAGTTTTCGCGTAAATATAAGAAATCATAACAGTCAATAACTTTTACATTGGAGTACATTTAATATAAAAAAAATAAAGTTCCTACATGGCTATGAATTTAGAACTATATTTGAATGTTCATGACAATTTCTGTCCTTTCTGTCAATTAATCAGTTACTAGTTAATTAGTAGTAGTTTAATTAATTAGTAGTTTTCAGTATTTTAACTATTGGAAATCATTGATTTTAACGAACAAAATCACTACATTATATCTTGGAAAAGGAGAAGGAGACGTCTTCATTCGTCCCAGGTGTTAACAAGATGAAAGTAAGATCATTTGAAAGCGTATATAAGCAATTCATAGCTGAAAATCTGGTGAGATTTGTCAATCTAAGAGCTGAGTTATTGAAGAATAAGTAAAAGTCAGATTAGGTATTACTCGTACTTACACTGTAACAGGTGATTTTCCACTGTTATTACACTGTAACAGGATATTTTTCACTAAAATTACTTAAAGATATAAAGTCAGGATCAATATAAAATCACTAAAGAAAAGTTGCGGTTAGTAAGAAAACGAAATGGTGAAGCGATTAACAAAAGTTAAATTAAAAACAACTAAGTGAAGTGAATTTTAGGGATATCGATCTGAGATCGATTACATGAATTGTTGTTGTTACTGTTACATGTTGGAATGTTGATATATTGTATTTTTTTTATTATTTTGTAGATATATTTGCAATTTTTATCTCTTTAACACAGAAAAATAATCGATATAATATATAATTAATACGCTCAATTTAATTATGAATCGATTATATTGCGCTCGTTTCAAATCGAATCGAAAATCGGTCTTCTTCTCTTGAATGAAGTTTGAACTGTCAAGTTTCAAATTCAAAATGAGAAGTCCTGTATTGAAAGATAACGTTGAGAAACGAGAATTTCACAAGTGCATTCTTTATGGCAATCGATTTATATAGCCATTAAAATGTTTATTTTCCTTTCTTCTATAAGTGAATAATATATTTTATTTCCAAACGAATATATCATTTAAAGTAAATAATATAATTTTAATGAAACTTTGCAAGTCTTTCATTTTATTTTTTGGATCCGAATAAATATAATATCGATTGTAATTATACAATCGATTTTTTAACATATTTGTTATTTTATTGATTTTTCGAATTCTATATTGTAGAAAGGGCTACATTTTGTATTTTACTTTAGAAAAATATAGCCAATTTTTTACACTATAAACCAATTTGTTAACTTCAGGTCCAAAAATCCCATTCTCCTTTTTCAGCGTAACCCAAATATTTTGCATGTTATCAATGCCTCAAAAGTGTAGTGCCTGCTTACTGATAACTAACTTATTATTTTCGGTCATTTTATGTTATAAATTACAACCCACTAATTCTCTTCGAAAGATAAATTACTTTTCGTAACAATATGATGCAAACGCGTTGATTCTTATACAAGTTATTTTCCAACGTTGAATACAAATACGCAGAGCAAGCTTCCCCTTCCCTATCCGTTCTCGTATCGCTTGACCCTTGGTCACTTCCTGTAATGTCCAAAACGTACATTGATTTATTTTCTTATATATAGAAATCTTAAATTCAATAAAAATGGAAAAGTAACTTCTTATAACATCAGCTATCTGCCAGTTAAAGCCCGTCAAAATCAGTCCTGCTGTTTTGGAGATTAGTCTGAACAAACAGACAGACAACAATCACAAGAGTTACCCCAAAATATTACACCATATCGTAGGTATGTTTCTACCGTAACATAATACGCAGTAAGGAGTCCATCCGTACAAATTATAGAATACAATATGCCTAGAGCATAAGCAGATTTACTTATATTTTTACAAAGAGTCCTAATGTGCGATTTCCAATTCAATTTTTCATCAATTTCTAGCCCAAAAAATCTCGTGCTTTCGACTTCGGCAATATTATAGTTATTATATTGTATTATGAGTTTACTATTATCGTGTTTGCGTTGACTGAAATGTATAACCTTTGTTTTGCTTAAATTTATTTTTAAATTATTGTGACTTAGCCATTTCATAATTGTTTTTAGGGAATTGTTTATGTCATATTCGTATGTATTAATATTTTTACAAGGTACTGTAATGGTGCTGTCATCTGCAAATAGCGTCAAATTTTGTTCTGCGTATTCAGGTAGGTCATTACTATACAATATAAATAGTAACGGTCCCAGGACACTCCCTTGAGAACTCCAAAGTTGACTTTACCTTCCGATGATCGAAATGTCTGCTCGTATTTATTGACCTTATTAAAATTCTTAATTTCAGTTATTTGTATTCTATTATTAAGGTAAGATTCTACGAGGTTAAGTACATTACCTCTGATGCCATAGGCGTGTAGTTTATATAAGTGTAGGGTAGTGAACGTAATCAAACGCCTGGGTCATATCACAAAATATGGCACAAACTGGTGTTCTTGTGTCCATATTATTGACAATATTGTGTACAAAGTCGTATAATGCCATATTTACAGTTTTACGCTGCCTAAATCCTTTCTGTTCCTCACACAATATGTTATGTTTTTCTACATATTTATATAATTTATTGTAAATGTACTTTTCAATTATTTTTGCAATTATGTTTTCTTTAAACTTCAACATGTTTTCGTAATTATAATCCCTCCTAGTATTGTACCAGTAGTTAGTAAAATAAAATTTCTGAACTGAGTATTGTAAAATCTGTGCTGTATGATCTGATAATGCTAGCTCTTTTACATTAGACTTACACTGCTTATCAGAGTTGTACGCAAAGTTGTCGATGCATGTCATGCTGGCCATACGTGTCGGCTGTTTCAATGCTAATTTTAGGTTAAAACTTAATAGCAGACAGTTAAATGCTATTGTTTGACTATTATGTTTAAGTATATCAATGTTAAAATCTCCGGCGATAATAATATTCCTAAAGCGCATGTTTGATATATGTTGTAAAATATATAACAGATATAATATAAAAGATATAACAAGTTATTAAATGTTTCTATTCTATTGAACATACCATCAACCATAATCTAATCTCTTGAGGATGATGGTGATTCGGTGATAGAGTAGAAAAGATGGAATCGAATGATTTGCAGTTGCTCAGAGAAGTATATAATATTTTCATTTAAATATCATAAATTTAATTTCGTAAAATTTTGTGAGATATTTTCTAACATTCACAAAAAATAACTTACTTAGATAAGTTATACGAAAGAAATATCTGAATCTTTCATGAATTATCTACAAAAGAGGCATCAGTCAGTTTGAGGAGGAATTCCGGAGCTCATTTTTCACCTTTAATTTATTCGGTTTTAAGTACAACGATTTTAGGAATAACTCTCATAAGATCTTACTTAATACAATAATTTACAACACTCACTTCAGAAAATATAGGCATTAATACACTTCTTAAAAATTATCATGTACATCATTATGAAATGAGATTGGTTCTTCTGTATTTTTGTAGGAAAAAAAGAAAAGATTCCAGTGTATATCTCATTGTGCTATATCATTAATTACACTATATAAAATAAAATTTTGTTTTTAATCCGACTGCCCCAGATGGAGGGTAATATTTTAGGAGAATTAATATATGTAAGTATGTAGGTCTATTGACATGGCACGCTCTATAGCCTAAATGGTATGATGAATCTTAGCATATGTCGTATAGTTACAATCGTCTTAGTTGTAAAAGTGATATAGAATATAAAATATTTCTCTTTTTTTTTCAAACTTTTCAGTAAAAGTCTATAGGCGTTCGGGATTTTTAAACTTTGGTCTTGTTTTTCGTAAGATATTTAAATTAGTTTGCACTATGTTTAATAACTCAGCTCTTGTTTTTATTAACCTACATTTTCTTTTGAGACATAATAACGCCTGCTGTGTGCACATGGAACTTGATAAAAATTATAAATTATATAAAGCATGAAAAGCATTTTTTTAATATTCTCGTTCCAAAAGAAGCCAATATAATATTACCCAGTTAAGTTTTGAGATTATAAACCACTTTAGACATGATAGAGCAACACTGCAGCTATATTATGGTTGTAGCACGAATGGGTCTGCTCAACCGGGGAAGGACCACGCTCTCACATAATACCAGCATAATATAGAAGCTTAAAAGTAATTAATATATTTCTTTTCGATTTGTGAGTGTAGAGATCCTAAAACTCTTTTGACTGGAAACGAGGTATTCCATCGTAGTCCTCAGGGGTGACAACGCGTCAGTATTTTGATTTTCAATCGAGGATAGATGCAGATATCTATGGGCCACAGCAGTGTGCTGTGGTAGTGTGCCAGTTTGTCACTTTTATTATATAAAAAAAACACAATATTTTGAATAGCTTTCAATTCGCACATTGCGTAAAACTACTAATTATACTTGTATCCATAGCTAGCGATATTTACGAAACTAGGAAAATATAAAGATGCAGTAGAACTTGAGTTCGATTTCTTGTGCTGGCACCATTATTAACTAAAATAATGATTTAATATTTTTTTATATTTACGCGAACACTACACATTTAAATAAAACTAATTTTACAGATTTTATCGCGTATATTAACTTATTTTGTATTCCCGACGTTTTTATACTCTCGACGTTTTGATGTATTAATTTATCATGTTCAGCGGTTAAAACAAGTTTTAAGAAAAACAAAGACTTATAATTTGTTTATATACTACTAGAAGGTTATTACGGTACTAATTAATTGCGCACTAAGTTACATTTAACCGTAATCAATTCAATCGGATCAATTAACCGTCACTTCTTTAGTCGACTGTGAGCGGGCGAGAAGACTAATGCTTTGTTTTATAAACGCGAACGCGAACGTTGTTTCCGACAAACTAACACTGATTTTGTTTAATGTGACTAAAAACCCTGTCATTATTTATGAACGCACTTTATTAACGTGATTTGAAGTTTACTTCAGATAACACAGTTTTTGTTCTGATTTGCCGGTCTAGTAGTATTTGTAGAAGTCCTTGTTTAAAATCTTAAGTCTAGACTTGAAGCTTTTATACGTGTACTGCTGTGTTCCGTTTTAAAGGGTATAGAGAGAGTAAATAATGACGGACTTCTTTATATACATGAGTTGTGAGTGTATAGAACCGGAGACCCTTTTTACTGGCAAAGAGGCATTCCATCTTAGTCCTCACGGGTGACAACGCATCTGCATCTTGAGTCTTTATTGAGGATAGATGTAGCTGTCTATGGGTCACAGTAACCACTTACCATCAGGTGGACTGTGTGCTCGTTTGTCACCCTATCCTTTAAAAAAAGGCTGCAGTAACCACTTCTATGTGAATTGTGAGTTTGCATGTCTCTGTAATTTGATAAAAAATTAAAAAATCGTCAACATTACCTTTTTCGTGCGTGTCGCAGATGGGTAACAGCATCTTCCTTATAACAATTTAGTAAATAAGTGGTAAAATGAAAAATTTTGTACAACCGATTTCAATATAAATCAAATGAGAACATCATCAATATTCACTTATGCCGATGATACGGCTATAATATTTTATGGAGAGACTTGGGCTGACGTTCAGGTGATTGCTGAAAGGGGTCTCCAATGTGTGGCACAATGGCTTGAGGACAATTTACTAACACTAAACGTATCTAAATCAACGTACTTACAGTTCCGTGTTACCAATACTCCAGCTGTTGAGGATATTGAACTGAAAGTACATTTTTGTGATCTAAAGTCAACAGACAAATGCTCTTGCCTTAATATAACTAGATGTAAAACTGTAAAATACCTCGGTGTGTTGTTAGACGAAAAACTTAGCTGGCTCCCACACATTGATCTTATTTCATCCCGGACTCGTATACTTATTTGGACATTTAAAAAGCTAAGACACATTGCTGATTTTGATTTATTGCGCACAGTATACTTTACTTTAGCACAATCAATTATAGGCTATTGCATAAGTGTCTGGGGAGGATCGTGCAAAAGTTTTTTAATTAAGCTCGAAAGAGCACAAATATGTTTACTAAAAACTATGACTTTCAAACCTTATAGGTACTCAACAAAATTATTATACAGCGAATGCAAGTTGCTGTCTGTCAGGAAATTATACGTTCAAAATTTGATCACCAAGCAACACGATCGCACTCCCTACGACTCTGAGATCTGTCGTAATAAACGTAGAGTACCCAACGTACTGGCACCGTTTAGATGCCGCACTGTTTTTGCTAGACGACAAAGCGCATATCTCTCTATAGTACTCTATAACAAACTTAACAAAATTCTAAATTTCTATCCTCTTTCAAAACACCAGTGTAAAATTAGAGTTCGTGATTGGTTATTGTCATTAGATTACAATAAAACAGAAAATTTATTAATTTAATTTGATTTAATCTAATTTATTAATTAAATTTATAGTTTCAAAATAAATAAATAAACAAAAACAGGGAAGTGATTAATGTGTGGACAATTAATATTAACGTTTCGTTTATGTTTATGCATAATTTATATATGAACTTTAATATTTATATATGTATATATATATATATATATATATATATATATATATATATATATATATATATATATATATATATATTTGATAATTATATAAGTACATATACACATATATATGTGTGTGCTCGACTTGTATATATGTATATTAAATATATGTATAGTATAGATGTTTAGTATTAAATATAACACATATAGAATACTTTATTATATTACAACTTTTATTATTTTTTGATTTAATTTTTGTAAATTTGTTAAATTTGTAAAGTTGTTTACTTTTCTTTTGTTTCAACAATGAAAACATGCATAGTGTTTTTAGTATTACCCGTTCTTTTAGTACAACTCTGGGAGAGGCCGCTGATTCCTAAGATACAGACTCGTCTAGTTTAGGAGTCAGAGACTTCATAAAATTTCTTGTGATTTATTTTTGATAATAAAGAATTATTATTATTATTATTATTAATGTCATCGAAGTCAATTAATTACGCATTTTTAAGAATAACTCATAAAATGCTGGTCAGATCATAATTAAACTTATATGGAACCACACGAGAAGTACCAGCTTTCAAATAAGAGAAGAATCATCAAAATCGGGTCACCATGAAAGAAGTCCTGAAGTAAGACACAAAAAATACAATTGCATTGAGAACCTCTGCCTTTTTTTTGAAATTGGCTAAAACGGACTATTGTGTGGTTGTGAGCTACTCGTGTGCTAAAAATACAGC